AGTGTTAGAAAAATGAATATCTTTTAATTTTATTTCAAGTTACAGGCATTTGGCCAAGGAATGTAAAGTATTGTTCTAAATGAGGAGAACAAATATTTCTCTCAGGGGCTGGTATTATTCAGCTATGCAGCCGTAGGTGATTGATAACTTCTGACCCCTCCTGGTAACTTTTGACCACTCCTGTAATTCCTTTGAAGTCCAATAATAAAAGCAGCAGAAAAGAGAGGTTTGGGCAGAGTTGAGTACAGACTTTTCAAGGGGTCTCACCCTTGGTCTGTCCCCTCTCTCACTTTTCTGTAGAAAAGAAACAAATACTTGCTCGGTTTGGTTTTAATTTCTAGGATAATAAGTGGTTAGGATTATTAACCCTATCAGAGAGGATTCTACAACTCAGTTGACAGGGTAGGAGATTACTTGTTTTTTTGGTTTGTTTAATATGAGCAAGATGCTGATAATTTTATTTTTACTTAGTTATATTTACAGTACATGAAGAACTACTGAAATTATTTTCGGATTAAACATAAATAGATTAATGAATTCCGCGTGGGAAAAAGAATTACATGATAACAACCTAATGAGCCAACTGGTACAATCTTAAACCATTCTATGGGAATGATAGCGGCTAATAAAGACCATTTATTGGGATAATAACATCCTAAGTTCGACTGCAAATAGCCACGTTGCTGTGTAAAAGAAGATTGAATCAACAATGGGACCCATGAGATGATGCACAGGTTCTGTATATTAGAAAACCTTTTTAGACTTCATTTCACCTGCTGCCAGAAGATTTAACCTTAATAGATACATTCCAGCCTGTTTATTTAGTTGGTGCAAGCTGTAAAATGAATCAGCTTGTTTGGTTACGTTAAGACTACATCTGACTTGTAGATGTTATTGTGTAATCCTCAAAGGCCACACACTTTAGAATGTGTTCAGTAACCAACCGTTATAAAGTGAAGTAAGCAAATACAGTAGAATACTTTTACTGGCCTCGTGGTTTTGCTGTGTATACTAAATAAAACCATCTTATCACATAAGCTAACAGCAACATAAAGAAAGTAGTTAGTATAGTAGAAAGTAGAAAGTATCAGTTTCACTGATGTAAGCAAAAAGAAAAACTTAAGTTGTCTAAAGATGTCAGCTTGGTTTAATGGAGGAAACAACATTAGCATCGGGAAAACATTGTATGTTTCATAAACGCATAAACAACAGAAACATCCCATAATGAACACATGGTAACATGGTGTTTGGATTGAGATTATCTACCAGCCTCAACAGAGCTCCAGGTTTTCTTTCATACATTTTGAGGTAAACATGTTGGTTTTAAGGCAAGTTCCAAATGTTATTTTTGAAAGTACATCCATATCTATTTGGTTGTATTTTTAAATCTCTGATTTATTGTATATTATATTTGTTGTAAGACAGGCACAACAAAAAAGGGAGCAAGTAAAACCATCAATTCGTCTGTCTTCTTGTTAACTTTTTTGCAATGTCAGAAATGATTTACATGGGCCAGCTTTATTTTCATCCGTTTTCCTGTTCTATCATCAGCTGTTAACTGTGAACTAAACTTCAATGCAACATAAGTTTGTTCTGTGAAACATCAAAAAATCACAATCCAGTTTTCAACAGCAGAATTAGATTATTAAATCCATCAGGAGATAATCTCACTACTTTTTTGAAGTCTTAAGTTTGACATTTCCAGTCTTTGCACTACATCTGTGGAGTTGCCTCCGCTGACCTGACATACCACTGTGTTCAAAGACTTATCTCCTCCTACAACTGGACTCAATTGCTGCATAATCTTTGTTACTGAGGAAAAGCAGCATCTGGAGCTGGGAGATTTTGGTTTTCATCTTGAGGACCTAACATGTTGCTGCAAACAGATATGTGGTCAGAGAAACTGGTAATGCTAGCTAAGAGGTCCCAGACTCTCCCTCTGTCTTTTGTGAAATCTTTTGTGGTGAGGATGATTATCCTATTATGATAATTATCAATGCTTAGGGCACTGTTAACCACTTTTATAGTATACTAGCATTGACGGGATTTGTTTAAAATACAGTTGTCCTTTAGTTGGCATTTTATTTGTATAGCACATTTCAGTTATTACACAATTTAAAGTGCTGTATATTTACTTGTTCTTCAGTTTCCAAAAGGGCAAAAAGGCACCAGTTGGATTTTGATTTAGATTAGTTCAGCTAGAATTGACTCTCCAGTGGTGTCAAAAGTTCACACATTTGTTACTTAAGTAGAAGTGTAGATACTGCAGTTTAAAAACACTCTGGTAAAAGTTGAAGTATCAACTTGACCTCTTTACTCAAGTAAAAGTGAAAAAGTATGTGCTCCAAAAACTACTTAAAGTATAAAAGTATGAAGTAACCTTTAAAAAAAAACAGCCAGATGCCACTATATGAAATGAAAACTTAATTTTTTGACTGTTTAGAGAAATTCTTTGAGATAGGGCTAAGGATGAGGGAGGTCTTGTTGGTCTCCGTCTCCCGATACGCTCTCGCCTGTATCCGACCTTTCAGACATTTCAACATCTTTTTCTAAATCCCAACATTGTAGCATGGCATAGACAATTCACGTTAGCAGTTTGAAGAACACCTGCTTGCTTCTGATAATTTCCTTTGGCGTCAGCCAGAGATGGGAAGTAACGAAGTACAAATACTTCGTTACTGTACTCAAGTAGATTTTTCTGATATTTTTACTTTACTTTACTACTTATTTTTATGGCGACTTTTTACTTCTACTCCTTACATTTTTACACAAATATCTGTACTTTCTACTCCTTACATTTTTAAAAATTGGCTCGTTACAGTACCTTAGTTTTGAATCATTTCAATGGAGTTACCGTTATTATTTTTCACGTCATCAATACCAAATTCAATCTAATTGGATGGGAATCTACGTTGCATTTGACGCACCACTACAAGATGAATCGACAGATTCGGCGGTATTCATTCGCGGCAAATCATTGCAACTTGGTGGCATTAGCATAGTAGTATGGACGACGAGATGATTGAAAATGAAAACAACGGAGATCTAGTCCTATTGGCAGACATCCATTTAAAATGTAGGCAACGGCATGAAAAAAGTGGTTTCTACTTTTACTTTTATACTTTAAGTAAATTTACAAGCCTGTACTTTGTTACTTTTACTTGAGTAAAGAAGTTTAATAAGTACTTCCACTTTTACCAGAGTATTTTTTAACACAAGTATCTGTACTTTTACTCAAGTACGGAAAGTGAGTACTTTTGCCATCTCTGGCGTCAGCACAAATTTGATGAGTAAATAACCAATGAGTGTTTGCATTATATGACTCATCCAATTACACTAGTTTTCACTAGATGTGGATGGTGCCAATGATCTGCATGGATGGAGCAAATAAAATACATAGAGTAACGAGTAATATTTGTTTTAAACATTTAAGGAATAGAAAGTACAGATACTTGTGTGCAAATGTAATAAGTAGAAGTCAGAAGAAAAATAAGTAATGGAGTAAAGTATGGATACCTTAAGTGTACTTAAGTACAGTAACAAAGTATTTGTACTTCGTTACTTGACACCTCTGAGAAGCTCCCATTGGCATGCAAAAAATTTAGATATATTTACATGTAATCTTTACGCATCATTATGAATTGGGTTAAAAAAAATGTTTTGGGTAAGTTTCCATACCCTGAGCCTCAGAAAAAAAATCTTGTGCAAGTAAATAGCAGAGAAATGCTATTCACTTGCATAAGATATTTTTTTTTTTATGATGATGATGATTTTTTTGTTTTTGCTTTAAGGTTGTTTTACTTATTATTTTTGCAATGTGTTTCTTTAATGACAAAACAGTCTAATAAGAATTTTGAACAAAAAATAGGTTCAGAAAAAATAAAAAGAGTGAACAAGAAGAAGAGTACAGTTTGAAAACAATCAGTAAAAAAACAAAGTATTATTACAGTATTATTATTTACAGCAAGCTCAGTGAAAAAAATGCTATTAGAAGTTTTCCAGAAGACTGCGATCAATCTACTTGCTAATAAGCTTATTAATGCAAAGCTAACGTATCCTTCAGATGACATAAAGCAAATTCTCTCAACCAACCAAGCAACAGTAAACAGCCCTTTTTTCTGCTGCTAAATTTTTTTGTTCATGCAACTGATGAGAGTCGTTTATGAAAAGGCAATGGTGGACACCAACTTGATTAAACTTTATTAAATTATGAGATTAAATTGAAGGTTCAACAAATGGTTTTTGCTTGAAAATGTAGCCACCAAATCCCAAAAGAGTAAATAATGGAATCAAAAGACATAGAGTAAAAGCATAGCATAGAGAAAAAGCAGATAGGTTTTCATGAATCCTTCTCATTAACTATTAAAATCTTTATTTGCAAAACATTTTAATTCTTCATATAATTTATGGCAGCTAGAGTCCTTACTAAAGGCACATTTTATGTTTTACTAAGAATGTTCTTTTATGTAATGTTGTGATTATTTAGCATATTTCTGCATGGTCTACTTACTTATTTGCAGGAAAATAATTAATTTAGCTAGAAAGTCTGAGCTGTGCTCTATACCACCTATTACAGCAAGAGCTGCATGTTTGTTAATCTACAAAATATTGTGTTAATAATAATACACAGTTTTGCTTTTTAACTTTAAAAGTTTGACATGCCTTTAGCTGAGGGTATGACTGAAAGAGAGCCCATCCGCATCTAGTTAAGTTTTTAGGGACTAATCCTTTAAAAGCTAATCAATACTTATCAGAATAGGATACCTGGGTTTAACTTAGCTGTCCTTAATATTAAAAGTAGTGCGTTTTCTTCAGGCGTTTATGAAAACACTGTTTGAGTGATTTCATTTACAGGCCATTTTTAGATAGTTTGCTGTAATATTTCCAAAACATGCTGAATTTGACCAATACTACATTTAAATTGAATCTATGCTGCTTCAAGGTCCAAGTGTAATTAAAAAAAAACAATTATTCTTTTAATCCTAAATAATCCTTTTTTTCCTGTTACATACGGATTCTTACCCTCTGAAGTTTCAACTGGTCACAGTGTTACATTTTTAGGGACATGCAACTAAATCAATATTGGTAAAATATTGATAATCCTTTATTAGCAGCATGTCATACATAATATCCCCTTAATGGAAAGAGTTCACCAATCTGTGGGAAATAGGCTCAGTATCTGTGGGCTAGGACCTTTTCCTGCGATCATTTGGATGTTAAATAGAATAATTTCGGCTGCAACACCTAATTATTATAATGGCATTTGGTTTATCACAGTGGTTTGGTTTTAAATCAAGCAATAAAAGATGTCTGAACATCCCACATACGTACAAGCCCTGTAAGAGTTCATTGTCAGTTTAACAAATTCATTTCCAAAATTAGAACACAGGAAAAACATAAATACAAGTAAGAAATAGTCAATGGATGTTAACCTTTTATAAATGAAATGAAACAAAAAAAAATAATAAATTGAAACCTTCAAGTTACTATAAGACAAATAATCTCCCTGTATGTTTGTAGATCTATCGTCACTGATTTATTTTTATTCATATTTTTAGTCATACTTTTATTAGACCAGACATCATCTTTGCTCTTTAGATTTAGTGTCTTCAAACTAGTCTCTCTTAATGCCATAGGAATAAAACTCAAGGGAGACATAATTAAATGTAAGGATCAGGGTAAAAATAGCCTACTTTTTGGCAACTATTGGCGCTGTTGTGCCCGCACGGATGTTCTCCTTCTAGATACAGAACTGGCTCGCCGACTTTGGGTCCTTCCACTCTGCTCTGAAGGAAAGGCCACAACCTGGGTGGATGATCTTTGCACCTGCAGCCCCTCCATTTCTCTCATGTCCCTTGCCATTTGAGAAAGAGTTTGACCCGGGTTGGTCTGCAGACGCTGGAAGAGGCTTTCTCTGTTAATCTTTTTCTCTGGACACATAAAGGTAAGAGCCACACCATAGTCTGACTTCATCTCTCTGGAGAAGCCATCAGAGGTGCCATCAAAGCAACGACCAATAGCAATTTCTTTGGCAACTCTGGGATTCTGATCTGTGACTGTGTAGATGCCATAATTGTGTCCTAATGGATCAACAGGGGCTAGCATCGTGAACGCGTGTGACTCGTTGTTTTGAGCAACTGGCGGATGCTTGATGAGATATTCCTGTAGGAGACCGTTGGTGCCAATCCTCCTGCAGCTACCCTGTGGAATAATTGATATCAGTGATCTATCAACCTCTGCTTGATCAAATAACATGCCACCACATTTGAATTCAACACATGCAGCCGAGGTGTTGGCTTCCCGCATGTCCCGTGTACTCCGAATGTCTCTAATGCCATACAGTTTGCCCCTTGTCTGTGGGTGTGTTCCTCCTAGATTCCTTGACCGGACCATTACTTCTTTTTGACCATAAATTTTGACTTTAATGTAGCATGCTCTGAACTCCTGGGGGTTCGGCCACCAGGAGAGGTAGTCCCTCGTCCACGTTGTCAAGTCATTCTCCTCAAAAGGAACAACATTGTATTCATACTTGTCTTTTTCCACTCTGAAAAACCTGAAATGGTTTGAATCCACAGGTGCATTTTCACAAGCTAATAAGTTCTGATATGGATATATTGGTCCGTTGGTCTCATCAAGATTGTTTTGGTTTGGTTTTGCCAAATTAATTCTGAATGCAGTTTTCTTCAGAGCTGGGTCCTCATGATCAGAACGCTGGTAATCTAATTTGTCTAGATAAGGTTGAGACACTCCGATGATATTTGGATTCATCTTGGGAGAAGAAGGAGCTGCCTCCAGCTCCTCTCCACCAAGTATTGCTGTGACGTATGCAGTGTAAGCATCGGGCCTCATGGCATCACAAAACGCAGGCAAGCAGGCCCCGTTGGGCCCAGTTAGGACACTATCAAAGCGTCCCCATGCCCTGGGATTAGATGAATAACCTGGCTTGGGCTCCAAATTGATCAAACTGATTACTACTCCCTCCAATTGTTCATTAGGAAGGAACTTATCGCTCATGTAAGCACGCACCTTAACATAACACCTCCTGTTTTCAGGCACATCTAAATTGAAGAGTCTGCGTTCCCTGATCTCCATGTTGCCTATTAGGAAGGTGCGCTCCTCTCGCTTGTTTCTTCCACGACCACCAGCAGTAGTTGTGCTATAGGAGAAATTGCTCTCCTCCTCCCAGACACCAGTGTCTGGGTTTAAAGACCACAGTTTCATTGTTGGAATGTGCTCTTGCATTTTCACATGCTGTGTGTCAAGGAGAACTTGGACGGCCCCAGCTCCAAGTACTTCTTTACTTGTTTCATCTCTAAAGTCAACTGAAAACATGCCATAGGTCCGCAGTGGGAGCATGTCACCCTCTTCATCCACAAAGTTGAGGTCACCCGGGGCAGCTGCTGCTGTCGTAATGTTTCTCGGATCAATGAATGTGACACTGGCTTTCACTGTCCCTTCATAGGTTTCTCCATTGTCTTTATAAAAGGAGTTCGGTGGAATAACTATTTGCCCTATTGGATCCTCCCCTTTAATTTCTCCGAGGTCAATAAAATTGGTTTCTCTTGGATTGATATCAATCGGTATCTGTTTCCTCATCACTTTGACGTTATGATAGATAGATCCACCTTTCTTGTCAAAAATAAACACCTTTGGAGTGTCGATGAAGGTTTGAGTTGGGTCGACAAAATTTACAACCAACCTTTGTGTATCTGGAGTAATTTGCAGAGTAAACCCACCCTGGTATCCAGTGATGCCGACTCTATCTTTACCAATGTAAATATGCCCAAAACGCAGAGGCTCATTATTGTCAGCTGCCGCAACTCTGCCACGAACCAGCACAGTGGGTTGAACACATTTCTGACAGCTGCAGTGTATCACAGCTCGTATCGGGAGCTTGTAGGTGCCACAGTCAATGATGCGACTTTCCATTTCCTGAACCCCACAGCAGAATCCATCTCCGTCTCTGCAGCGCATGTCAAAGTCCAGAGATCCCGGGCATTTGTTGTGAGGACATCGACCTGCATTGTAGTACTTGGAGTGGGTGCCAGGTTGAACGCAGTCCATTGGTAGTCTTACAAGGTGTGTTTCAGGGGTGGAATTGCACGCAGGTGATTCTTTGGCTGTGGATAAGATGACATAGATTTAAGATGTTTTGGGTTTTTATACAATATGAAAGGCCAATAGAATTACATTAAAGCATTGAGGTTTGTTCCTCACAGATCAAATATGTCTTTATGTTAATGCTAAGATTGCAGTTTTCTTCAATTGTTATTATCGCTATCAACTGAGATATCTTATATTTGCTATGAAATATGTTTCATTTGATATAACTGAATAAAATGAATTGGCATATTTTAAGATTTATATTCAAAAACACAAGGAATCGGAAAAAAAATTCAAAATCATACACAAAATATTTTTTAAAAAGCTTACATGCACACACAATTTGTTACCTGCTATCAACATTTTTAACACACAATGTCAAGCATGAATCACACTATAAATAAGCATTATGTTAAAAGGAACATATATTTACAGACTATTTAACATGTAAGAATAATTTAATCTCTATCAGGGTTCCTCAATTCCTGCCTTTCGAGGACTGCTTAGGCATACCAGGGTCAAAAAATCAGATTGGCTCTGAACTTTTTAAATCTTAATGAGAAAAAATTGTAGTGATGGTGTTTAGTCCCAGTAACTTTTTTAATTTAAAAAAAAAAAACACCACACCCCAGCCCCCCTGCCCCCGTTGACTCAAGCCTTTTCATTGTTTTTTTTTTTTAAATCTTGTCATCTCAATTTTGAGTTTTAAGATTGACAGGGATTTTAAATAGGATCTGCAAATCAGCTTGGTAGTAANAACAGTAATCCATGCCTTTGTTACATCCCGGCTTGACTGCTGTAATGCACTTTATTTTGGGGTGAGCCAGTCCTCCCTCCCACGTCTCCAGTTGGTGCAAAATGCAGCTGCACTCCTTTTAACTGGCTGCTTGTGCATTTTAAAATTCTTAAATTTGTTTTTTAAGTCTCTAAATGGCTTGGCCTCACCATACCTCTATGATCTTCTCCACCCCTATGCTCCCACCCGGTGCCTCAGGTCAGCTGACCTGCTGCTCCTTGAGGTGCTGAGGTCCAAAGGGAAGCTCAAGAGGACACTGAGCTTTTCAGTCTGTTTTGCACTTTTTTAGTCACTGCTCCAAAATTATGGAATTAGCTCCTCCCCCTCATTAGATAATCCTCTTCGCTGTCTATTTTCAAAACTCATTTTAAAACCTAGTCTTATACTTTGGGAGCATGAGACTCTGTTTTTGCGTTTGTGGTTTTGTTTATTGTTGTTATATGCTTGTATTAGTTTTATTTAATTATAATTGTTTTAATCCTTTTAATTACAACACTGCTGGAGTGCATCTTTTTTTCGGATCTAGCAATCTTTAATTTATGTTCCAACTGGAGTCAGTGGATGAAAGTGCAATCTTTTTGAAAGAGTCAAAAGGGAAGACTGCTCTCCGCATTATCATCTTCCATGGTTGTTTTCCTTCCTGCTTTCACTTAGCAGGACACATACTGTAATACTGTAGGAACCTTTGTTGAGTATTAGTGGTGGTCAGGTCGGATGAATGCAACCTGGCCGTTCAGACACAGGTCGCATTTGAAAAAATCGGATTCGTATCGGATTCAGAACAAATAGCCAAGTGGCCTGGGTCGCATTGGAAAAAATCAGATCTGTGTTGTTCAGACAGCCATGAAAAGATTAGATCCAGGTTGCATATGGGCAAAAAAATCAGATTTGGGTCACTTCAGGCTGCAGTATGAATGTAGCCTTTGATGCATTTTAAACGTCTGTCTGACCACCCGCTAATTTTTATTTAGTCTTGTGACAAAAACTGAAATCTACTACTAGTCATGTTTTAGTGATCAAGGATCCATGTTTAGCTCATCATTTTTTTATTGTCATGAAAAAAGGAGCTTCCTCTAATGAGCATGACACTTAAGATGTATCATTGCAGCTCTCACAGGAGATCACATACAGGACGCATATGTTTGGAAATGTGAACAACCAATCAAAAGAATCGGATTTTACAAAAAAAAATCTGAATTGAGCATTAATGCCTGCAGTGTGGATGTAGCCTTTGCCTTATAGACGCCAGTATGTGCACCCGTAAGACTGAATGAAGTTAGTCAAATTGGGACTACAGCGCTCTGAAAAAGAATTACAAAAAATGTTACACAAATGTAGCGAATGGCTGAATCTCTCATAGAATCGTAAACATTTAAAGGTTTGTTGTTTGCATGCATCATAACGAGTACACGTGAATAAATAATTTATTTTTGTTAAACTCTGAGTGGAATGTGCCTTTACATCCCGTCGTGCAAAGGATTTTGCTAAACTATTTAGCTCCTTACAGTGGCTAGGAACGTCGGGAGGTTCTTCTGCATCCTGCTTCCTATTCCTAGCTCCTTCCTCACTGCCAGCGCTATTTGGATAGCACTTATTATGGTAATGTCTGGCAGTTAAGCAATTGCTGAAGTTCCCTTACTGATTTGAGCTATGCAGATTGAGTGCTTGACTGCATCATTATGAGATAATTCAGCAATTTCATTCAGATGTGTGCAAACAGAGAATACCTAAAAGGTGCTCTAGACACCGACCTAAAGAGGAACCCTGATCTAAATACTTGAAAGACCCCAGGCAAAGAATCCATCCCAGAATCTTCAGCAGTGCTACCCTAACTGACTTTGTGCAGCCCCCCATTAAAGTTAAAAAAGTCTCATATTGGGAAGCAGAAGACTCTTTTAGAAGACTCTTCCTTTTAAGAGCATCACCAGTCACATCACTTGGCTCACCTCTGAGGGGGATAAATCTGCCTACTGGTGGGGATTCACTCTCTCGTAACCTTAATGTAGCCACAACAGTCTGGAGCTCAAAGCTCTAAAAACAGTCAAGATAGTTGAAGAATTTGGAAAGAGTGCAGCACCACCCCTCCTCATCCTAACTCTACATGTGCCAGGGCGGATGCCTTCCGCTCCTGGGCTCCATCATCACTCAGGACCTCAAGGTACAGCAGAGGATGTAATTCCTGCAGCAGTGATGGGACACTTCTACACCGCGATCACTGAGTCCATCCTGTAGTCCTCTATCATCATGTGGTACACTGCTGCAATCACCAAGGGAGGAGCAGGCCGTGGTGAGATGCATATCATTCGCTCTGCAGATTTTGTGGTCTGGGATTTTCCTCCTTAATTTAACCTGTTTTCAGCTTTTCCCCCAGAGGTTCTCCTCAAGCACTTTCCCCCTGAGAGACAGGGAAATTGGTTTCACCTGTTTCCCATCAAGCAGTGGACCACTTAAGGAGTCTGCTGCCATCTATCCAGTGCCAGAGTGTTAACCTTTGTGATAACCCATAGGCCTACTGAGTTCCTGAACTGTGTTTTCTAGAAACCTCTTTAACCAGTTATCTCCATTGCTTTACTTTGGGCTAATGCCCCAGAGGTTCAAGCTCCTGAAAAAGCTTTGGAGCTCTTCAGATATCTACAAAGCTCACGGTTGACACAGGAATAGAGATCGGAAAGATATTGTTTCCACTTTTACAAAAAAAACTCTCAGTTCCTTCAAATATTAATTCTAATCTTTTATACATTTCTAAATAACTTGGAGTTTAAATGATCTTATCAGTGTTTGGAGTAACAGTTTTATAATAGTATTAATAAACGATCTGACTAATCACTTTTTACATATAGGTAAAGCGGCAGGGCATCGCTTCTACTCAACCTATCAAAGTTACATTTCAGAACCTGCACTCTCTGCAACAGGAGTTCAGGTAGAGGCATATATGATGCCAAATGGGTGCCCAGCCTTAATGTGGGTGGGGTTTCAGCTCAGTTTGAATACAGACTGAGAGGAAAGACGATAGCATTCAGTAACAATCCTCACTGAAGTCAAAGTCGGAATGTTTCTGAAAAAAACTTCTAATCTCATTATTAGCAGGAACAAAGACACCATATATGTTGGTTAGAAGCACCTCAATTCAAGCTCTTCATATGATGGGAAAACCATGGGCACAGGAAAAAAATGCAAAAATTATATTTAAATGAGCAAGTGATTCTTTACTGTACTGCAGTTTTACACTTCAACACTGGGTTGTTTAACAGAACAAGAAATTTTCAGTGTTGCATTCAGGGACTGGAAGAGAAAATGAAGTTTGGGATTGCAGTCCCCAGAACCATCTTATCCAATAAAAAGATCCATCTTCAAAAGACAATATTTTAAACCAATGTAAATCTAATAAAACTTAATTCCTTAGCCCAGTTAGACTGACCTGACGCTTTTATTTTTCTTTAGGTTTTTTTCGCTCTCCAGATGAACTGACTCTCTTTTTGGGAGTTGTAGTTCCCTGTGGTTTGGTGTGATTTATCTAAATACATTGACATGGCTCATATACGACTTGGTTTTAGCCCAGGTCTGGCAACGCTCCCCTTAAATCAATTTTAAAAGAGGCTATTTTTATACAGTCAAATTATTTGTGGCTTTTTGGTTTCTGTCAGTGGTTTTTCTTGAAGCTATGGAAATTAAATACGTCATTGTCAAAAGCAATGGGATAAAAGCCAGCCTAAGTTATAATCCCTCCATCAGCTTGCTTTGATCATGTTAAACTGTTTTCCTTTATAGCTGATAAAAATCAAAAGGAATGTCTGAGAAATGTCCATGCCACAGGCAGTAGATTGCATAATAAATTTGCTTTACACATGTTTTATAAATAAGATTTTATGCAAAAGTCTAAAATCTCCATTCTTTCTCATTTTTGCTCCATTTTTTGAGACAATCTGCTGTATCGATCACCCTTTACACCTGGTTTATGGTTTCATTATTAAACATCCTTTAAACATATAACACAATTCAGAGTTTAGTTTTAGATTTAGAATAAATTAGTGAATTTTTATTTCCTAAAAATTGGAGACACAAGGTTTAATATCCAACAGCAATCATATGAGCCACATTTTTTTTATAGAATACATACGTACCAATTACAGTAAGGTGAGCTGGAGATGACTTGACGCTCCCTGCAGGGTTGCTGGTTTTGCAGTAGTAGTCCCCAGATTGTTCTAGTTTTAGGTCTCGTAGTAAAAGGTCTTCTCCATATTTATACACATTCTTATCCAGCAGTGTCCCATTGTGGTACCTGTGTAGTAGTTTACATGGTAAAGTAGAGACATAAAAAAACAAAGATTATTTGAAAGTTACTAAAGTCAGCAGATTAAATCTGCTATGGATGCAAAGCCACACATTTTTTAATTATTTTATGGGTCCTGCTACAGGTTTGGCTACATTGCTTGTAAAACCAGTTGCCAAACTCACCCAGAGCCATAGCTCTGTTAATTAAATCATTCTTTCCCAATGCTCTTAGCAGCATTTTATTTATTGATGTAATTATAGTTCAAAACATTCCCCTTGAGATATATTATTTAACTTTCTTAATACCACTTCAGTTTATTTTGACTTTGAGCACAGCTCCTCACACTTTTGACTTTTGACGGCCAGTTGAGCTTTAACACATCAATAAAAGCTCTTACCAGTGGTATTTGTCTGGAGCAGGCAATCCTGTAGCTGAGCAGCACAATAGCACACGTCCTCCCTCATAACGCACTTTGTCCTCTGGGTGCTTTACAATATATGGCTTTTCTGTGGAGGGCATAAAAGCACATTTCCTCTGACCTCACTATGATTTCTATGTATCATGAGGACACAAAATTCAGCCAGATAAGCAATTTATTCTCATATTGGTCACTCTTCCTAAAAATACTTGTTATTGAGGGATTAACAGTCACAGAAGAGGCACAGTTCTCGGTTTAATTGGTTTTTCCATGACATAGTTGGTAATCAGAGCTTAAAGGAATAGTACACCCAAAACATGATTAGCCTTCATTTTCTACTCACCCCCATGCTGAACAACACTCTGGAGTACTTTTTTGATATC